CTTGTGCCCTGAATTTTTTGCAGTGCAGTTCTTATTTTAATATTTCTCATACATTTAACTGAATGAATTGGGTCCTTGGTTATTTGATTTTCCCCTGGGATTTTTAGAAACATTTTTGAGCATCTCTTGTCTAGAATAGGTACTTTTCATCAGCCTGATTGAGTCCATTGAAATCAGGCAAAGATTTCTACTGACTTCAATGGTTCAGAGCCTAATCCTTAAAAAATAATTTAACTAAGTGCATATTTCAGAGTACCCAGTCCTGCAGGGGTCTGAGCTTCCTCCATTCCCACTGACTTCATGGAGAGCTGTATGTGCTCAGTGCTTTGCCAAATCAGGTCCTTGATGAACTCGGGTCCAGATTTTATTGCAAAAAAAGATTAAATATGTTTTTGATGTTTCAGTGAGATTAATGGGGAATGGTTTGTGGTTTTTTTTCCTCAAATGCTGTATAAAAATAACTCAGCTTTAATCTGGCAAGTTCGGTTTTTTTAAATACTCAGGAGCTTGTTTTAAGATTTAAAGACACAGGTTAAAATATATTTTCTAATGGGCAGGAAACCTTGGGATAATATAAACTTTATGGAGAGGAGAATAGAAATATCCACTGAGTTTAAGAGCTATTGGCTAACCAGAAGTATTGGCAATGCAGGCTGTGCTTTCTCACTTCACCTTTCACCTATGGGACCGATTCTAGTGGCCTTGCTTGCACTGAGCATGATACTGAGCCCAGCGCAGCCTCACTGAGATGTTCTTTGCTAGGGGATTGCATGGTATAATCAAGCCCTTCCTAAGCAGACAAGATTTTGGGAAATGGCTTGGGACGTCACATAGAAGCTCATGTGGCTGAAGAAACTGTCTTAATTTGTCTGGCTTCAGCAAAATTGGTCAGCAGCTCTGCTAGGCAGAATGGAGTTGGGAAAGGAAACCTCAGCATGTTTGTATTAGGGTGACCAACCTTAAAATAGTTATGTAAGGGAACATGGATTTGTCTGCACTGCCCTATGGCATGCCTGGGCCATTCCCACAAAGCTCATTTCTCCTGCCTTCAGAGCAGGCCCTGAGAATAAAACAGTCTCAAGTATGAGTGGGTGCTAGTAAGCAAGTCCTAGAGCCCAAGAATGGCTCGGAGCACGGAGTCAGGACCGCTGTCGGATCTCCTTGCCAAACGTAATGTGGTCGGTGCGCATAGAGCGGGAGCCAGCAAGCAGAGGATGAACTTGGTGCAGGAGACATTATAGTTGGAGCGGAGCTCCATGCAGTGCAGACCCAAGCACGGCTGGGAGAGCAGCACCCCCTGCCTACTGCTCTCCTTCCCCCCTCCCCCAAACAAACAGGGGCAACAAGATGAGGATTCATGGGGCATGGGTGGAGCCTTGGCTTCCTTAGATAAAGGCCAGAAGAAATGAGCTAGCCCAGTTGGACAGTAGAGGGAGGAAAGAGCTCATTGTGGGGAAGACATTGGACTGTGACCTGGGAGGTTGGGGGTTGAGTCCTGGTTCTGCTATGGGCTTGCTGTCTTCAATTCCTCATCTGTAAATGAGGGTAATACCATATTGTCCTTTTCTCACACGTGCTCTACCTTGGCTATTTAGATAACTGTTTACTATTACTTAGATTACAAACTGTTTAGAGTAGGGACAGACTTTTACTATGCATACGGATTGCGATTACCAAAATGGACACCACTGGAAAATAATAAGCAGCAGCTGTCGCCTGTTTAGGCCTGCAATAAGTTTCTTCCCAGCAGGGAGCCTTGTAGGGCTTCTTGGGCCTGCTGCATGCTAGAATGACCTCCTCCTGTGGGAAAGGCCTGGGGCTGAAAAATCTCATCGACTCATTAATGCTTACCTTGAGATATTTGAAGACATGCACTTAAATGTTTGTGCTGAGAGTTTCTCAAGTGGCAAGGAGAGGTGAGGTACAAATACCAAATAACCCCATTGCTGCCTTTTACCCGAACATGAACCTCTTTAACATCTTTCTGGCAAACATAATACAGAATGTGTTTTCTTTCAGCTATGACGAGTGTGTGGGACCAGGAGCAACACAAATATACATTCCTACAGATGATCCACCACCTTACTCTCTGAGAGATCCTTGTCAAAGGAACGACTTCTCTATAAACATTAGCTTGGAAGAGGAAGCAACGTCTGGGACTACAGGACAGGCTGCTAATTACCCAGTCAGACTGCCGGACTTGCAACAGCCCATCTCCTCCATTTCTATGTCATCTCTCACCCTGGAGGCTGCCCCTCCCTACGAGACTGTCGTATGTGAGCAGAACGTCCCCATCCCATTGGTGCCAATGGATGTACTGAAAAATTCTTCACCTGACTACCAGACCTTTCTCAACCAAATCATGTAAATGAAAGTGGCTCTTCCCATCATACTTCACGGGGAGTATGACCAATTGAGGTGGAAAAAGAGGTTTCAGTGGAAGAATAAAATCTGTAAAAGTTTTACCTATTTTATATCTTATGTGGGGATGTAATGGGATTTTTTTAAAAAAATTTTTACAGCAAATTTTGAAAGTTTAGGTAAACTTTCATCTCTGAGCTTTCAGTTGTTCCCGACTTGTTACACAGAAACAACTGCAGCATAAAAACAGCAGCGACGTGCAGTGAATCCTACCCTTTCACAGCATCTGAGAACACAATGAAGTCAGCCACTGTTACTGTAGATACATGTTATCCAGTCGAGCCTATGTGTTGATTTTATGGTACTTTGCATGTTGTAGAGCAAAAGGAGAAAGAGCTGTGTGTTGTTGTCGTAGGCGTCAATACATTTCACCAAATGTCTTATTACTAAGATATAAAAACTAGAACTTTAAAAGCATTTTTCAATTGAATATATTTCAAATAGACCTTGAACAGTGCCTGGAGAACATGGTTGTTAGCACCATACTGTGAACAGAAGGAAGGAAAGGGTATTTTGCTGTATATATGATGGTCTCACCCATGTTATTTCTGCCTTTCCAAAGAGTGCCCCTTTCCCTTCAACAGCAGTAAAAGCAGGCTTTCTAGAAATAGCAGCATATCCCTGGAAATACTAAGTGGGTAGCATCCTCAATCTTTCTAGAAGCTTTGCCTGGGGTTGGTACCTGTGGGGATGCTATCACAGCATGATGCCTAGACCTAACCGTGAGTTGAAGTATTTTGAAATCCCAAGGCTAGGGACAGAAGTTGCACACAAACTGGTTTAGGTGATCAGAAACTGGTTTAAACCTATAGCAGAACAGAAGTTCAGTGCACACAAACTGCTTTCAAAATGGCCAAAACCAGTTTAAGATAAACCTGGTTGAATGTAGTATCAGACTTAACTGATTTGGGTCAACCCAGTTTATGCAATTCCTGTCCCAGACCCTTTCCTGATCCAAGTTAAAATACAGTCCCCCAGCATCCCAGGATGCTTTGCAGCCCTGAGTTATGTTGTCTGCTCCAGTAGAGCAGGGACTGCCTTGCCCGTCTGCTCCTTAGCCTGCTTCCTGCCTGTATCTGTTGACCCATAGTAACTGGGGAGCAGATCCCCCAGGTCCCCCAAGCCAGGGTCTACACAGCACATGGGGGAAGGCAAAGCCCTGTGGTGGGGGCTTTTCAAGCCTTGGTAGCCCTCCAACCTCCCCCTTCCCAGCTGCTGATTGCTTCAGCAGCTGCTACAGGAGGGAAGGAGAAGTCCTCCCAGCCAAGTGCCTGCCCATGCAACCCAGCATGGAGGCACCAGGGAGCCCCTGCCTTGGGGGGCTTCGCCCCACAAGGGTCCCCCGGCCTGGAGCAGCCCCAGGGAGCTGAGGGTAATTCTTCTTCTCCTGAACTGCTTGCCTTAGCCCCTGCGAGCCTTGGGTAGCCACAGGGAGCAGATGGAAATTCTCCTGGTCTGCTGCTAGTTTTGCTTCAGCTGCTGTGAGTCGGAGTCTGCGGCAAAACTAGTTGCAGGGGAGTGGGAGAATTTCCCTCTGCTACCTGAGGCTGCCCTGGGCTATCCCTGAGACTCACCGCAGCTAAGGCAAGCAGCTCTGGGGTTTGGGAGGGGAAGAATTCCCATAGCTCCCTAGGGCTGCCCCCAGCTTGGGGGCTGGGGTGGGGGGAAGCACCCTGAGGTGGGGGCTCCCTGGGATCCCTATGCTGGGTTGCATGGGCATATACCTGGAATGGAGGACTCCTTTTCCCTCCATCCTGGGGCAGCAGCTGAAGCAACCAGCACCTGGGAAGGGGAAAGGAGTGAATGCCTTAGCTCCCCAGGGCTGCCTGGGCTGGGGAATCCAGGCTGGGAGAAGCTCCGATGGGGAGGATCCCCCAAAGTGGGCCACCACTAGGACAGAAGCCTCATTTTAACTCCCTGTGGCGGGGGGAAGCAGGAGGTTGGGGACGCTTGGCCAGGCTGGCAATGGCCAGCAAGCTGGGAGACATGCTCCAGTGCCCCCTGCGTGCTGGCGTGGGTCAGTACAGGCCTCCCCCGCCTTTCCCAATTGAAAACTGAATATCAGTTCAGTTCATTACTGGTTCAACCTATGCAGCATAGAGGAAGCTGCCTAGATTGAATCGATTCTGCCTCGGGCTTTCTGATCATCTGTACTTAGCCCAAAAGGTATTTTCATCCCAATTCTCTTGGTGCAAAACTATATCTCCAGCCATTAACTTGTCTCTTTCTCAGTTATAAGCCAGTAGTGGGTTTAAAGGATCATAACCTTTTCCTCTAGTAACTGCCAAAGTGTGAAGTGTATCAGGACTTGGCATGCATAATGACATTACAGATCTTACAAACCTTGTGCAAAATTATTTTATTCAGTTCTGATCTTTTTCACTGCAATGTAGCTCTCCATAAATCTAGCATCTGCTCTTAGTTCTTGTACCCCCATCTGCAAAATATGGATGTATTCTACTAATGACAACAGAGGAAAACCCTGTAAATATGAAGGTTCAGTTTATTGTGGCTTGGTGAGTACATAGACTCTACATAGCTACAGATCCAGATCTTCAAATGGTGTAAGTCATTGCGGCTCCCTTGAAGCCAGTGTACCTGGCCCATTTTCTTTAAATCTCTTGCAAATAATTCCAGTCAGTTTTTGTACTGGCAAAAAAGAATCTCAACTGAATATCCCATTGGAAGGACAAATAAGTACTAATTAAAACCAGTAGTACATTAAAATGACTGAAAAGATCATCCAAAGCATGAGAATCCCAGTTAAACTTCCTGGACATGATGTACAATTTTCAATTAGAATCACTATACAACATTCCAAAAACTGATACAGTTTTAATTAATATGAAAGGAAGACAGTAATTTCATAGCTATTTCTGCTCTGTAAATTACAGCATTACTGACTGAATCATGTGTATGAAGTGTCGGGTTTTTAGCTAGAGCCTTATAGAGGCATGTTATTAGATAAATAAGGCCAGTATATAGTTTGCCCACTGATACAGAGAACTCTTTTGTGGTTCAACAGGACTTTTTGACCTTCACAATATGTCACACTCAAAAAAAAGATGTAAATTAACAATCCTAGCTGAAACTGCTAATGGGCACTGCAAGTTTGCAAAAACAAACAAACAACAAACCCTAAATTTAAACATAAGGTACTTTTATTTATAAAGTAACTATGAAAATAGGTTTCTTTTTGGATATAAACATTTCCCAACAGGGCAATAAAATCCACCATGCTATTGTATTGGGAACAGAGAGTGAAACTTACAGAACTGAGTAAAAACCGAAGTGAAATGGATTAGTTTGTGGATCTAATGCTAACAAAAAAAACCCCTGCAAACTGCATGAGCTAGAGCAGGGGTGGGCAAAATGCAGCCCAGGGGGCAGATGCGGCCTGCCAGGCCATTCTATCCAGCCTGCGGGGCCCCTAAAAAATTTAGAAAATTAATATTTATCTGCCCCTGGCTGTCTGTCATGCAGCCCTCGAAGGCTTGCCAAAACTCAGTATGCAGCCCTCTGCCCAAAATAATTGCCCGCCCCTGAACTAGAGCCTTCCACCTTTATTTATACTGGGCTTGTCTACATGTTCATTAATGTGCCATAATTACAGCACATTAAGTTTAGTACCTGTAACAACAGGTACTAACTTCATACATCGTAAATCAGCACTACTGTGCAATAGCGCCAGCACACACTTTTCTGTGACACTAATGCCCAAAAGACTAATTCTGCTGTGCGTGAGCACGGTTTTTGCCTGCTGCACAAATAGGCGATAGAATTAGCCTACTGTGCATTTAGTGTCTCATGTAGACGCCCCCACCGACTACGAGCTTGTTTGCCAAGTAGGCCTGCTGGCAGTAGGACTAATGGCAAAAGGAGATTCGACCTAAGCTACTGTTAGAATCAGACCCAGTGAATGAACCCACTCACCCCAAGTGAAGGTGGCAAAAGTTGACCCATTGGAATCAGAAATTAAAACAGTTCTAAAAAAAATTATTTCCATTTTTAGCTGTGAAATGGTGTTCCTGCAGCATGCTTTTTCCCAAGCTAGCTGGAGCCAAGGACATTTCACACGTGATAGGTAACACACAGCTAATGGTTTTTAAAGTATATGATTTTTAACCTGCCAGCGTCACGTTCATGCATTTCATTTCCCTCCATTCATTTTCCATTTGTAGAAAAGGGCTAAGATTTTTCAGCAATCTCATTTTAAGCGGGTTACTAGTAAAAATGGCAGAGCTGTATTTTGACTGGTAATAGAAATGTCCCCAGTGCTCAAACTGTAGAAATCTAATCAAAATCTCTTGTCAACCACTAGAGTTAAAATATCCTTAGTGTGCTAATCTGGATTACAGATAGCAAAGTGTCTACAAATAGCTGTCTGCTCCCCCTTGTGGTGTATCGTTTTATAAAATAAATTCCTCTATTCTTCAGACTACGTAGACTTCACTCAGAGACCCTAATCTCTCAAAAATATGTCCAACTTCTTTGTCAGTGAGGGATACAGAAGCCAACAAGAACATCAGTGTCTGTGTTCATGTGGAGCACAGAAGCACAGCACATACTTCGCCTGATTTGGGCCTTATTGGGCACTGTTCCTCATTTACTGTAGTATTTCTGTAAGTAACCTAGCACTGAGAGCATGGTAGGTCATCTTGCCATACAGTTACTTTAAAGAAATATTTGTTGTGACAAAATAATTGCTTCGGTTAATAATTGTTCAAACATGGCTACTTAAAAAAAATTGCCTCTAAATTAGAAGTATGAATGTGTAATAAATGTTCTAAATAACTTTGCAATAGTATCCCAGCAAAATGATTTGCAGGAGTGATTTTTCGTAACTTGTGCATCTTCTTATTGACATAACATATGAAAGCTAAACATTACTACTGTTAGAGTATATGGTAAATCCAGATGGAAACAACTTAAATGCTATTTTGGCCAGAAAAGTCTGTAAACAGAAGTTTGAATGCAACTGTAGCAATTCTGCAATAGATTCTACTGCCATTACCAGAGTAATGCGCTTACTGTAATTTTTTTTACATGATAACTTTACATGATACAATTTTTTTTTCTCATTTCTTCCAATAAAGGTGTAACCTAACTCTTACTAAAGTAAAACCCTGATAGTTGACTCTATCCGGCTGTCAGGTTTTGCCTGAAATCCTCACACAACTTTGCAGTGTCCTGCGGGCTGGAGGAGAGCAGGACATGGCCCTTTTGCTCATTGGAACAGCATAAGGAAGAAAAAGGGTTGGACACAATGTTTCTTGTTGCTCACATTGCAAGCCTTTGTATTCATCTCTGATTTGGGATTTTTTTTAAATATCCTAACCTTTGAAGACAGAACTTTTAGTAAAGAATATACACATGCATACCCTGGAACCCCCTTTGCTTTTTATTGTCTGTGCTGACAATTTGTGGACTTGACAAATCCTGGGC